CAAAGCGCGCGCTCTGATTGGTTAATTTAGCGTCTACTATTTGCCCATGGGTGTACGCTGCTGACGTGTGTGCTAATGTTTACAAAGCAAATCTTTTGAGACATTGTTTCCAAAGTAATGACCGACGTCCTTCTGCCACAAATGCGAAACTGTCTTCACAGTTGTCTGAAGATGAAACTTTATCGAGTTACTGGTGTGCAGTCGGTTGTCATGAATGAATTTTCCCGCGCTTGTTTTCTCTTGTCATGTAAGACTACACGAACATTTTTTTGTGATGTAGCTCAATAAAAGGACTTCTGTTGTTCCAATGTCTGAATGTTATGTTATAAAACAAATGGTAAACGCCATAGCTTGCACTATTGAGTTATGGATGCACTTGGGAGGTTTGCTAAGAACTCAAGAAGCTAGAGTCGCACTCGGCTATCACCTCGTGCGACTCTTACGCTTCTTACGTGCTTAGCAACCTCCCGCGTGTATCCATAACTCAATAGTGCACGCTATGGCGTTTACCATTTGTTAATTGCTTGTGTTGTGACGCAAGCCTATGTGCAGTGTACACAAGAAATTCTAAATGATGTTTTAAAAGGAAAGTAAAGAAAACTAAATGGCAAACTCTGTTCAAACGGAAATCCTTTTATCTCTCTCTTGTTGGCGAAGAAACTGACTGAAACCAGGCTTTCCAACCTTTCGGTATATAGATCTATTTATACTGAGTGAAGTGTATCTTTTTCGTAAAAAAGGTTTGAAATAAATTTTGTCACTTTATATTCTTGTAAACAGAACATTTCGTTTAACATTGTCTGTTTCCATGGCAAGAAGTTGAATTAAGAAACCAGGAAATGTCTCAAGAAAGAATCTCCAACTTAACACATTATAATTGCGAATATATGTGGTTCCTTTTATTCAGGAATAGAAGCCAACAAAATTCTTGAATTGTTTGGTGAATGGTTTCTCGATTTTTGCCAAGAGCGCGGTTATGATAGAATTCTGCAAGTGCTCGGAGGAACTCTGCGAGATTTCATGTCTAATCTAGACGCGTTACACGACCATCTAAGTGTTGTGTACCCAGGCATGAAAGCACCATCTTTCAGAGTGTCTGACCGCGAAGAAGACGGCGCATTGATTCTTCACTATCATTCCTCGAGGGAAGGTTTGGAGTATATAGTCATTGGATTGGTCAGAGCGATAGCAAGAAAACTCTTGCATACAGAAATAAACGTGGAGATTATAAAACAGAAAGAACACCCAGGGGACGATGTCCAGTTTGCAATCAAGGAGATTCACAGCCCGGAGATTTCTCCCCATTGTATAAAGCAAACGGCCTGCGCGCGCCCTAGTAAAGAACTCGTTTTGTTGTCGTCGGAACCAAAGATTTCTCCTGCAACGTTCTGTAACATATTTCCATTTCATTTAATGTTTGGCAGAGACATGGAAATCCTACAAAATGGAGATTCGCTGAGTCGAGTTATCAAAGGTTTAAACGGCCGAGCGCATTTGAGAATGCCTGACATTTTTGAACTTGTTCGTCCCAAAATAGAATTCAACTCTAACGCTTTGCTCGCTCACATCAACACAGTCTTTGTGCTCAGGACTCGGCCAGGGTGTTTACAAGTTCCAAATTCAATAGATGTTAACGCGGACTTCGATTCAAAATCATTAAGGCTCAAGGGACAGATTCTTTATCTAGAAGAGTTTGACAACACGCTTTTTCTCTGTTCGCCAAGTGTCAGTAACTTGGACGATTTGAGAGAAAATAATTTGTACCTCAGCGACATTCCTGTTCACGACGTGACAAGAAATCTAATCCTGCTTTCCGAACAATTCCAAGAAGATCGCATTCTGACCAAAGAGCCAGAGATTCTAACGGATAAACTGCAACAGACCCACAGAGATCTTGCGGAAGAGAAGAAGTTGACAGATCAGCTGCTTTACTCCATTTTGCCTCCTTCAGTAGCGCAAGAGTTGAGACACAAGCGGCCGGCTCAGGCGGAAAAGTTTGAAATGGTCACAATCTTATTCAGTGGGATTGTCGATTTTGAGAACATTTGTCAGAATTCTGAGCCAGTAGAGATAGTTCAGCTGCTCAATAACATTTATACAGACTTCGACATCCTCACGGATCAAATCAACGATGTATACAAGGTAAGAGAGAAAAAAAATTCTCTGCGAATAAATTTTCATTATGTGCGACAGGGCAGACGTCATTAATTATGTGCGAACGCAGACATATTTCCGGCTGTCGCTTGTCTCCGCCGAAAATAACGTCTGCGAACCCGAGCCAGGAAACGATTTCTGTGACGTAATGACTTTTGTTTCTCTTTGGCCAATCAGATTCCATGATAGAATGAAACTCGAGTGCTCCTCGCAGCGAATACCTCGCGCAGTAGTTCTGGGGCTACTTGAGCTAAACTGTGATTGGCTTAAAATTCCTACGTCACAGAAATCGTTTCCTGGCTCGGGTTCGCAGACGTTATTTTCGGCGGAGACAAGCGACAGCCGGAAATACGTCTGCGTTCGCAGGCTACAGGGCTTAAAGACTAACGAGAAATAAAATTTTAAATGCCGGTCAACGACATTTGTTTTTTTGAACAAAGAAAACCTGAAAAACAGTAATGCTTCATTCACGAGTAGAGTGTTTGCACTGGGGTTGATCCCGTTGACACTTTTTGCGCTTTTCCAGTTCGAGAGTTCCAGATTCGGACTTTACCACATTGTAGTTACTGGATGAAACATTAATTTTACTTCACAGCGTTTCCCTTTTACCAAGGAGGGAAAATGGCTACTCGAATCGACCCCAAATCTTTGTTTCTTTTCGTTTTGTTTTGTTTTATTTTTATTTATTCTTTTATTTTTTTAATTTATAATATGCTGGAGGGCAACCAGTGGTGATCTAGCATCGAAAGAGTGCGCAGTACAAAACTAGCCTTGAGAACCACTTGGCATTTCCCATCTCTTGGATGATACCGGATTCGGCTTATTAAGCGATTTATTGGAATTTTTCAAATTAGACCGACTGTTTATTTTCCTGTTTCGTCTTGTTTTTCCTTCAGTTAAGAATTGGTGTACACGCTGGTGAGGTCGTGGCTGGCGTAGTTGGACACAGGACCCCTCGGGACTGTTTGTTTGGTAACACTGTGAATATTACCAGCCGCATGGTGACCACAGGGATACCAGATATGTCGTCTGCATCCACTTGTAATTTTAGAAAAGATGACTTTGTATATACTTAAAAACTTATGCTAACAATCTCTTATTGTATATATCGCTGACTTAAGTTCAAACGTTTTTTTATGTAAATACCCCTAGTTTTTAGTTTTTCGTTACTTAGCGATTAGTTAATTGCAAACGACCCCACAAGCTCATGTAGCTTTAATACTCATCGTTTTAAAATAAAGGTCAAAGATCACGTTTGTGTGAGCGCAACAACCTACAGGTGATTAACGAGTGGTTTTAACATGAGGCCACTCTGTGAAACAATTTCACTCTGACAGGCACAGTACGACATATATGTAAAAAGATCCGAGACGTGGAGAAGATCTTGCGGGATTAGTAGCCAGAGACATTTTTACACTTTAGTTATTAGGGGATCATATCATGTTTGAGATCTTTGACGGTGAAAATGTTAGCGAATCTCTGGACTTTTCGTTTTGCTTTTGAGAGAGAAAAATGGAAGAAAAAACAAAGCCAAAAACAATATTGTAAAGCGCGCTTTTATTTTGGTCGGCAGTCGTACGCGTCATCTTTTCTCCACGCGTTTCTGTGAAGACCACAAGATTGCTCGATTGCTTGGGGATAGTTAGAAGGTTAAAAAATTCTCTTTTTCTGTCTAGTTCCGGCTCAAAGGCTTCGTTCCATTTGCACGAGTTTTGATGACAGTGGAAAGCTTGAATCAATCTGTAGCGCAGATGAGAAGTTCCCAGTAAAGACTAGTTTCGTTTTATCTGCCTCTTTTTACAGATGTTTACAAAAGTTTGTCAGTCGTCGTCCAATCTTCCTGTTTGAGAAGCGCAGGGCCATTCAGATGAAGGGCCGAGACGAACACATGGTAACGTACATCCTCAATTGGCGCCCAAGATATCCCAGGACGCCGCCTGTCCCTAGAAGGCCCCATCAGGCTTCTTTGTGTGGAGGGCTCACATTTGATCGCTCTAAGGGACATATGTAACTTTGTTCACGATGAGCCTGTTCCAGGTATTCGGTTAGAAGGCTGGAGGTCAGCGCACAGAACGAGTAGAAAAATGTTAGGAGCGTGGGGCACCAGATCCCCTTCGTTCTCACGCGTTCCTCGATCCAGGAACAGACCAATCACGATGGCAAATACTGACAGTTGGGAATTCTGGAAAGAGAGTCTCACTAAAGAAGCAAGCGATAAAGGAAAGTTACGATTTGAACCGCGTACAACGGCTCGCTGACTGGCTGAGTTTATGGATTTTATATTCGGAATCTGAATGACGGTTTATCAAATCACTTTTGGTTTAGTCCCGTCGGTTTCATAAAACTTGGTTACATTGATTTGTTACTCTGGTTTCTTTTTTTATTATTTTGCCATGCATTTTTGGTTCAATCAGAAACTTTCTTAGGCTCCTTGAAGCAAAATAGACCTATATCATCGCCTTCCCGTTCAGTCATTCCTCCCCTAGATTAACAGTCCATACATATTTGTAAGATTCGAGGCGAAATTAAGATAATGTTCTGATTACTTAGCAAGGGGGATTTCATAACGTATTTTTTCTTTACATAATCACTCTTTTTCAATGATCGCACATTTTAATATTCACAGTTATTTCATTTTTTCAGGCATTCAAGTTTAATCACTTACAATTATCTACCATCTTTGTACCTCAATGTGCATGTTAAAGATCCGAATGTTTTTAAGATTTATAACTCTACCGCTGCTCTTTTTGTTCTATTTCCTGTAAACTTCTGGCTCGAAATAGATCAGCACAAAGAGTACATTTTACAAAACAGGTGATTTTGATCTTTACTGTTCGTACGCATTTCCTGAACTGAATGTGGTTCTTAGAATATGAAAACGAGCCGGGAGACCTTACCTTACAGCAAGAACAACAAGGTTTTGACGGTTTTCACCATAGGGAACAGTAGGGTTTATTTATGGAACGACGCCGGTTTCACAAGAAGGAAAATGCAAATTATTAATTTCAGGGTTAAATATGGGTAAGAAATACAGGTGAGACATTTTGTAAAACGGAAAATATCCAGACCTATTTACACCTAGTTTCTTCGTGCCCATGTATGATATTTTTCTTCCATTTATAATTCCATTTATAACCTGAGAACCTGGATGTCTCTGGTCACGTGTCAGTGCACTTCCACAATCCGAGTACAGAGAAACGTTTGACATTCGAACAGAAAAATCCTTGCGCATGTATGCTGATCAACAAGAAGTGCAGTTTTCGATTGACTGATTGATTGACTAATTGACTGGATGAAGATGCTTTGGAGAGACGAAGCGGTAGAGATACAGATTAATAACTACTAGTAAAAACACAAGAATAATAGCCGTGGGGAAACAATAGAACTATAAAAAGCCTAGTGTTAAGTATTTAATATTGAGAAACTTGATCTGTTTACTATGAAAGTATTGTTTATAAGAAACTTGCTTGATGCTTCTTTTGGAAGTGTCGTCATGTTTTATAACCCCGCGGTTTTTCGGCAACGGGTACCTGAATTGCACCAAACATACCCGTCATGCATTGGGCGCTGTAAAACCTACCTAAACGGATGCGAGAACCTCAATATTTTGCAGGTTTTTGCAGTTCACAAACACAAGCCGTCTCTACGAAAACTTCAGCTGTAGTCGTTGGAGAGATGACAGAGGAGAGATGACTTGGTTTTGGCGTCGATTTAAGCCCGCCCCTCACTTGCGACGCAAGCATAAGCATAAGCATAAAAGAAGCTTAAGCGCTAGTGGGACGGCCGCCACATTAGTAAAAGCATACGCACAAGAATATCAAAACCTTGCATTCTTCCTATACTTATGCTTATGTAGCTGCTGTGTCCAGTGAGGACATGTTGGTATAAGCATAAGTCTTAGACTTTCAGCCAATCAGCGAGCACTTTATGTTTATGCTAACCATGTCCTCGCAAAACACGAGAATAAGCATAGGAAGAACGCTTATGCTTATGCTTATGTCGTGGCCGTCACACTAGCGCATAAGCTTCTTTATGCTTATGCTTATGCTTGCCTCGCAAGTGGGGACACCACATTACTACTGCTAAAATCATTTACCAAAATGGAAGCAAAAAAATTGATCGTACCCTCTTATAGCACTCTTCGGCGGCATGTCAGGCGAGTTCGGTCGAACCATGCATGACAAGGCTACGATATCACTGTTATGTACCAGGTCAGTGACTTGATATCGCAGGATATCAGGACAGTAGACACGGCTTCTGTTTGGCTAATTACGAATTTGGGTACGATAAACCGAATTCGTTTGCAAGTGTAAACGTATGATACATGCAATGCTGAATTGCAATTGTGAAATAATCGGCCATGCGAAAAATACGTAGCTACAATAGTTTGCGCATGCTTAACCAGCGAAGAATGTTGGCTAGAGAAGCACTGGACTACATTAAAACTCAATAGAACTGCTGAATTTATAGCTATAAAAACTTTTACCTTAATTTCTGTTTTTCTCAACAATCAGTTGCGAGACAAAACTTAATTATCAAAATAAATGCCTTTTTTCCACTGCGCACTTATTTCTTCAGTTAAATGCTTTTTGATATGGAAATGTTCAAAAGTTATTTCAGCTTTACAAAATTAATTCAAGTGTCACCTACTGCAGGACGCCAAAGTAATGAACCGGTAACTTAGTGACAATTCATTAACATAAAAGCAAGTCAGTTTGCACGTTTTACCTTAGTTGTCTACCACGCGCCCAAACTTGAGAAACTTGACAGCGAATAGACCGAATTGAGCATTAATTTGGTTAACTTTGTGTTTCAACAGCTAGCGCACAAACTCCGTACTAACCCTGCGCAAACGGAAAGACAACCCTAATTTGTTGGGTTTCTATATCCGAAAAAAATGAAAAAAAAAAAAAAAAAAAAAAAAAAAGGAAAAAGGAAAAAGAAATTGATGTGAAAATTACAGGGAAGCCAAAGTGATTTCAAAACGAAGAAAGCATAGCATAGCAAGCCTTTATTTGCGCGATAAATCAATTTTTATCCCTGAATAAATTTGAGCACGGAGGCTTCATGGCCTGCAGCATGCATGATTCAGATAAGGGTATCCATGTGCATGAGTCTATATTATCGTCAGGAAGTATTCATGACCAAACTTTCTACTCCTAGTTAGTCCTTAAGCACTGACAAATATATTTACTTAAGATTCTCTCTTTTCCGCTGAATCTTTCAAAAAAACTAATATGGTCATCCAACATGACAAATATCATTTCACTCCAAGTCAAATCAATATTTAGCATAAGGATTGATGAAATTTAAATCGACCCGCCTCTGCAATAGATGGCGTGGATTACTCTGTGACTGAGAAATTCTAAGCGGAATTTTTGTTTCCTGTAAACAATTTTCGCGTTGAGATTTTATTGCCGCATTTGCGTCGCATTCTACGTCAACACGTTTGCGCGGGTTTCCGGAACGCGGATAATGTGCTCCCTAAAGAAAGACACTGAAACGCGATGAAAACAGCTGTCTCCAACAGTCGTAAAACATCATGAATATTCATGATACATAATAAAACTCTTCATTTCTCAATATTTTTTTAAGGATCTTTGATGCAAATATATCTCGTAACTGAAAATGGTCGCCATAAATAACTCCTTTGTCTGGTGAAATCAAATATACCACCATTTATCGCTAAAAGGGGTAGGGAAAACTCGCTTCGCGTTTCCAATACGACAGGTAGAGAGGGTATCGCCATTATTTCGTCTTTAAAGTTTCATCTTGCCACGGGTAGCTCTTTCATATTTGTACAGCTAAAACGACTGCGTTCAAGTCAAGCTTTTATTTATTTCGTTCCTTTGTTCTATGCCCGGCGCTGATTGGCTAATTTTCTGTCCTGATCACTTGCTCCGCGCATGGCTACTAAGGCGCTTGCGGAGTCAAGACTCGGTCTCTCAAGCCACATGGCTGAATGGTAAAGAAAAGCTGAAAATTCACCGGATATTTCAGGTTGTTTGGCTTTAGGAGAACGTAGGAAACCTTCGCGGACGCAATCTGAGACTATCTGCTCTTCGTGTGTGGGGTTCAGGGTTGTTCGTCGGCTGAAGGTTGCCTTGTGGAATAGTTTGAAATACGTCGACGTAACAACACGTTAACTTCGTATTATGACTGAAGTCGAAAGCGTTTCTAAGACGAAACTCGATATCGTGGAGGATGAAAATCACGTTGCCAACAGTTGTGAACATGTCAAAGAACACGTAGAAGTTCAAAACCATACTGCTGAGGGAGAGGAAAACGGAATTTTGAGCGAAAACACATCACAGAAAGAAGTGAACCGCAGTGATCCCGTTGAAGCACCTCCCCCGCCAAAAAATCCTTGGACAAGGCACTTGAAAAGTAATGGCGAGAAAGGTACTCACAAGAAGCTATCCTTTTCTTCGACTGTTGTGTTAAACAACTGTTCTCAAGCCTCTGTGTGTATATTTCTTTCAGAAGAAGCAGCAAAACCAACCGTGGTAAAAGCCGCAAAGCGAAAGGGCAAGGTAGGAAACTCAGGGGTATGGTGTTAGGTAACAAATTTTGCTCGCTCGGGAAGGCAGCGGGACATTTATTCAGGTGTTCTTCTCTGTTCTGTTATACACAGGGGAGCGAGTTTACAGATATAACCAACTGGCCGACTCCTGGGGAATCTACAGCCTCCTCTAAGGACGGAAAGGTACGGACAATTGACGAAACTCGGGGGGTACAATTCACAATAGATGTGCATTTTTACATGTATTCGTATCTTGTTTGTCCTTGTCTATTTACGAGAAACGTTGCCTTGTTGATTCCTCTAATGCCTTGTTTGTTTTCTTCTCCTTAAGGCGACTGTTATCAAGAAAGAAAATGCCGAAAACGAACTTTCAGGTGATGACGAGAACCAGAAAACAACGCCGAAGAAAAAAGGTTCAGTTATCTAATTACACTCGTTTAAAGTTCGGTCTACAAACAGTGGACTAACTTTGGCTTCTAGAGATTCGTTTGTGTTAGACTTACCACCGACTTGCTAAGGTTTCAGCTTAAAATATTAATGAGTCGTATTTCTGGAAAAAGGGGGACATTTAATTGGGCATAGAAGTACAAACCTTCTCTTCTTTTTCTCATAATAGCACCTCAAACAGGAAAGATAGTAGATATAGTTTTAGTTACAATTCTTTTCTTTTCTTAACCCTCATTTTAATATTGCAATATTTTCTGACCTTTCACATGTTTTCAGTTTTGTTGGGGTTTCAGATACACCTTAGAACTATCTTTTTTTTATGAGAATTTTTCACCATCTTTGAAGACAATAATCACTCATTCAAATTCAGTTATTTTTGTGCCACCTTATGTTGCTTGTTCTTTCACAGTGTATGCACATGTTACTGGCTACCTTCTGGGACTGGCTTCCAGGGGCCAGTTGTTCGAAGGGTTGATAATGCTATCCACCAGATAAATAAACCACACTATCCCCTGGATAGTGATTTATCCAGTGGATAGCTTTTTCCATCCTTTCAACTACAGGGGCCAGGTCCACTAGAGGGATATTAGTTTTTTTTTGAGAGGCATTTTTGTCCCTTTGTTTTGTAGGGCCTCATCTGCAACCAATCCTCTTAATTTTCAAATTTCCATTTGTGTCTTTGAACTTCTAATATGTTTGAATCTTCCCCTGCCTTAGAATGGCAGTACAATGTACTTAGTAATTATACAGTAGAACCCTTGATTTTTCAACCCTCCAATAACTTAACCAAGTGATGTTTCCCTCCCCTTATTCAAACATTGTAATCTTACCCAACATTTCTCAAACTGCCCAATTTTTCAAGTCAATATTCATTTTCTTAGAAATTCAAAAAATCTGGTTTCCACTGTACCCAAATGTATGTACATTTATTGCCCAACAAATCATCCTGTCCAGCCTGCAAAAGGGTAGTCAGTGAGCGATATGCTTTATTGTGGACGCTCTTTTAGTGATTTTGCTCTTGTTTCTCTGAGGTTGAATGCACCGAGTGGTGGTTTAAAAATACAAATTAATAGCTATATTTAGAAATTTGAAATTTACTTGTCTTGTGTTTTGGCTCGAACAAGTGTTGATTAATTTCAATGTGGTATATTATGACTACATTGCTTTGTTCCCAATTCAAATTATGCAAATCTTGATTGAAACTCCAACAATTATCATTCTAACTGCAGTTGTCTAGCTGCTTGTCTGAAATGTGTATACTGTCTACGCTATACTAATTTTAGCTGTTTGTAATTGGAACTCCAAAATTCACAACCCAACCAACATTTCTGTCAATTAAAAATACTACTATTATAATTCAGACACTGTCTAAAACCAAAATTGAAATTAAACTGGAGATCAACATTGTCTTAGCAAGTGCAAGCAAATTTTTTGGTGATACATATATAATGTCATTGATGATCCTTGATGATCAAAAAACCTGATTGTCATTGGAAATTTTGGCCAGTCATCTCAGAGAAAGAGTTATTGCTAATGTCTATCCACTGAAAAATCCCCCAAGTGAAGCTCATAATAAATACAGTAACTGATAATCTGCAAAATGACCTCCGAGCTTGATTCAGCTCCAGGGAAACAAATCACCACTTTCTTCTTCAGCTACAGGTATTGCAATCTGTGTTGCATAATTCTACTTTTCAGTGCTAACACTGTCTCATTAAGAATTCTGTTACAGTAATATGGCATTCTAAAGTGCAATCCCCTTTTTTCATTTCTGATTTTCATAATACTGTATGTTTGTTAGTACAAAGTTATTGTGAGCAGTATTAAGAATTTTGAACCATAAGTTTGATTTGGTTATTTAAAAAAAAACCCAAATAAACAAACAAACAAAAATTGTTGCCATGGTAGTATACCATTCCTCATTATTGCTCAAGAAAGGTTTTGTGGCATTTTTAGTATGAGGGCACTTGCATCTTTACTAATCATCATCCTTACTAATGCAGTTCTGCTGTTAGTGGATGTTCCCCTTAAGTATGGTCAGAGAAAAAAAAATTTGTTGGACAGGCTTGTGCAATGTGTGTAATTGTTGCAGCTGTTTTTATTCTGTCATTAGGCTAATTGGCATCATGTTTGCCTGATTTGTTTGGTCTTTTTTGGCTACATACAGAGTTGTACATTGTTTTCAAGGATGATAAATGATGTATTATTAGAACTTTGCATCTCTAGTCTTGTTTGAGAGTAAATATAACCTACTTTTGTCACAAAATGTAAAAGCTAAAGTCTCGTGGTTGGTTGCTAGGCTGCTTCAATAAGAGAGTGTCATTCTTTTTGTTTAATGTCAGTTTATGGTCACATTGTAGGGGCAGATATAACTTGAATGTGTTTTTTTTTTTTGCGGGGGGATTTTATCAACATTCCAGCTTAGTCTTCATGTTTTCCAAAAAGGGGGGAAATACATGTCAGAAAAAAAAAATGCTACATAAATATCCAGTTTTTTTTTTTTTGGCAACTTCCAGTGCAGATTGTTTACTGTAACGAATGTTTTCAAAAGGGATTTTATTGTAAGTTAATCACCAAACAAAAATTCTCAAATTTCTTTTTTAAACAAACCAGCACATGTAATAGAAGTGTCCTATATAAGAGAGCTTTCTTTGCGCTGTTTTATTGCATTGCTTGTTGCTCTCTTTAATAATTATTTTGTATGCAAGAATATTGCAGTTTTATCTTGCCAGTATTTGCAAAATGGCTTCCATAAAGGGTAGCATATGTTTATATTTTTAACCCGTAAGTATGTCAGTCAAATCAGGTAATTTTGGAGAGTTAGCATCATAAAAAGTATAACTACAGTGCATTTTTTGTTACCGTCTGATTTATAAGTGAAAAAAAAGTCAGCAAAGCAGAAAGTGCATTTGTTTAGTAATTAATTGTACAAGTAAGGAGAGAAAATATCTGGATATTTTGTCCAATTCCATTCATTCCTGTACTTGTGTGATAGATCTAATCAGGTTGAGTTGCTAAAATGTCCAAAATCTAATTTCTCCTTGAAATTTCTATACATTAAGCAAACAGGTAATGAGAAAGTAAATTTAAACTGGGGGATATTGTTTTGTTGAACAGTGTTTCACCAAATACACCAAATGTTTCTATTAGAACAGGTATTGATAGGAATATTTGGTTTTCATTAACTTAGAGTATTCAGAGTTTGTTACTGAAAGTTTGGAGGTACTAGAAAGTCTATATTGAATGAATAATCCAAGAGTGATATAGTTTCGATGATACTGGTCCACAAACACAATGGTATGGCTCTGTTTTTTTTGTTTTTGTTTTTTTTAAGCGTGATTCATCCCTTTGATCTCAAACCATAGAAGATACTTTTTCATTCCTGAGAACAGTACAGTTTAGTAATTTTGTATCAGATATCTTGTAAACTGGCTCGTGACTGCAATACGTTTGTGCCCCTAGACAAATATTCGTTTGTTTATTCTTCTCTGTTTACCTGGTAATCCAAACAAAACATTGTTGAGATATCAGTTCTCCATTGGTAATTGATAAATAAGGGTAATCTGGGATTACCTGAAACTCTGAGTTGAAACTAATCAATCTTTTTCAAATCTGGAGGGTTGAAATTCCATTTATATTAGTAATATTATTTTCAACTGATTTACAGGTGGTCGTCAAAAATGGGTCCCTTTGAATCTTGAAGGAGCTGAAGGTGCCACAGAAAATTCTAGCAATGACGCTGTGTCAGACAAATCGCCAACATCACCAGAAGCTGCCTCCCCGACAGCTGTCAACCCAAAGCCAGCTAAATCGCCCACCAACAGGTTCAATTCAGGTGGCACGCCTGGAAACATATCCCCTGTTAGGGGTGGTAGGGGTGGACGTGGAGGAATGAGAGGTGGGCGTGGTGGTCGGGGACGACAGCGCTCACCAAGAGGTAACAATATCAGTCGTGCAAACAGTATGGTTTGTTTGAACCTGTTTTTGCAAATATACATAACAATTATCCCATGAGGGTGTGTTGGATATGAGTTACCTATAATCATCTCATATCCAACAAGCACGATATAGAAAACTACACTAAAATAAAAATAAAAATGCCTCAAAAAGTCACTCGTTTGCTGACCATACTTGTAGAGCATGGTATAATGGCTCATAACCCATGATGGCTAAGCTGATGAAAACTCTCAAATTGCATTATCCAGTGATTCAGTTTTTAGTAATTCCCATTGGCAGATGCCTCTTTAAGCACACACTTATTTATGGTGTGTAACCTTGTTAATGTTTGGTTTTAGGAGATGGTCATCAACAGATGCCATACAACTCAGCCTACCGACAACAGTTTGGGTATCAGATGTATAATGGAACAACTTACTTTGCACAGCCACAGTATGGTTCCAATCAACCTTACAACACCAACTTTTACTACAATTCTGGGAACTACATGCCTGCCACAGCTGTAACTTTGGACAACGGCACCCTGAAAGAGTATGTCAAGAACCAAATGTAAGTTCAGTTTTTGCTTGAGGGAAAATTTGTTGTTGCCCCCATTTTAGGTCTATGTTACTTTTTGCAATTTCTGGAATTGAGCAGTTTCATTGTGGCCAGTTTATGGAAGGCTTACAAAGGTTGTCACAAAGTTTTGAAGCCCTTTCGTTGTCTGAATAGACAGCTGATTATGCCATCTTTTTCCAAAGAATCTGGCAAATAGCTCAGCGAAGTAGCCAGCTTAGATCATGGTGGGCAACTGAAGCTTGTTGATGATACAGTGTGCATCCTACATAAGCCTTCATGTGTTCTAAGAAAACTGTGCATTTTGGATCACTAGTTGATCTTTTGTTTCTTTATTGCAGAGAGTACTACTTCAGTGAACAGAATCTTCAGAAAGACATCTTCTTGAGACGCCAGGTATGAAGACAACTTATGTTGTCTTGTACATAGTGTTTATCAAATGAACATGTGCCTTTTTTATTTTTAAATTTTTGAAGTTCACGCTTGTTGTTGAATTTCCCACAGATGGACAGTGAAGGTTTTATTCCTATTGGACTGATCGCAAGCTTCTATAGAGTTCAAGCACTCACACAGGACTTTAACCTTATCTTAGAGGTTTGTACACATTGATTGTAGTCTATGCATGCAATGCTAAGGAGCATCATGTGCATTCAAGGTAGAAATCTGTTCCTTGGAGGAAAGTGCTGCTGTTCTGCATCAAGGGCCATGTCTAATATGACTCTTGTTTTTCAAGGTGATAAATAACCTCCTCAGATACCTTGCGAGTGGACAGGCTATAAATTTAATTGTACTCTTGCTTTATCAAGATCATGTTCTGATATGACTCATTGTGCTTCAAGGTGATAATTTAAACTCCTTGCATACCTTGGTAGGTTTATTTAATTTTATTATCACAATGTGATGTGTTACTTACATGTTGGACAATTCTTTTGAAATGTTACAGGCTCTAAAAGGCAGTGAAGCTGTAGAACTTGTTGATGGTAAAATAAGGAAGAAGGATAACCCTGCCATATGGGCAATTCCTCCAGACCAACCCATCACAGGTACTGATACCACATTATGTACTTTGCATAAGTAACTTTTTCTCCACTCTTTTGAGTGCCATTCTATCACATATTCATATATATAGAGTGGGATTCTCATCAAGAGCTGATTGTCAGCCAAACAAAATTGGCTACTTCGATTTCTGAGCTGCCCACTTTTGGAATGTGACTGAACCTTGACTGTCTTTTTCTGAAGACTGTTAAGGCTGTTAAGAGAGGGGGCTTGAGGTCAGGGTGTGGTGTATGCTTTCAATTAATGAAAACCCTGTTTACAGTGCAGCATGTTATTTTGCAAGGTACTTCCTCAGTCCCCTCTAAACAACTACATTATACAGAAAATGGTTTTTTATATACATTCTTTAATGCTTGCTCATTAACCTGTGTGAGGATACATACATATATGTATGCATGTATCAACAACAGGTGAATATTGTCAAATGACGTGTGTGTTAATAATTTGCGTGCAGAATGAGAGGTTTCATTAAGCAGAATTTCAGTTGTCTCCTTGAGTTGCTTACTCTTGATAGAGATGTCTGAATGAAATTGCTGCCATCATCATCTGGTGACATCAGTAAACAACCTGAGGAGACAAGATAAATTGTGGCTAAATTTCAGCACTGTATTATTTTGATGTTAGAATAAAAAGGAGAAAAATCATTCTTTCTATTGAATGTTTACATTTATGGTAAAAATAACCAGGGGACAACTTAGTTTTGATATTCTAGGTTTGTTGATGACGACATCGACAACAATAGCAGCAACAACAACATAAGGGCCTATCTACATTTATCACAGTTCTTTACTGTCACTAAGCTTGGGCTTATTTTTGTCGTTTTCCTTGCTAGTTGAGAACACTATCGCGCATGTTTATGAACCCGTTTCTCCAGTGACACAACAGGCCACAACAGGTATGAGTGCTTAGCATTCATTGCCATAGCTCAACCATGCAATAAATTGTGAAACTCTCTCTTTAAATGTACAGAGATACTACCCAGAGATACTTGCTGCAACATTTTTCTGTCCCAGAATCCAGACTTTTTCTTTTCATGCAGTCAGAACCAAGAGATCTTCTAATAACCTGTGAAACCAGTCTTGTAGAGTAAAACCAACGTGGCATAATTTGTATTTGTTTTTAGTGTACTTAGTCCAGTTAGGTAGTTGTGAAAGTACCTGAAACATTTCCAACTAGATTTACAATAATATTACGTTTTTTTTTTTTCAGAAGTTGAGGTGACAGCTAATATGGAACTACCTAAACCAGATAACAGGGTTGCCAACCTTGACAATCCTAGTGAGATAATCAGGCAAGCACAGAAGGAACTGGTGTTCAATAACTCGTCCAATAAAGAAGATCACCAGAAACGTACTGAACAGAAAGGTACTAGAGGCAGGCATTATTAGCTTTAGAAGGGTTTTTCATTATTGTACAATCTGTGTGCCAGTGCACACATATTTCTTGGAAAACCAGTCTCATTGATGGGTAAGATTTTTTACCTAGGGAACTTTTCCTGTAATGCAACCCTTTTGTAATGCCTTTGATTGCTTTGTCCATGAAATGCACTTGTAAATTTGCAGTATCCAGCGGTCATTCTAAAATTGATTATTTTTTAAATCTTCATTCATTGTATGATCTCTAATATTGTGGTTTATTTATTAAATAAACGTATAGACTAAGGAACAAAACCCTTGCTTGAATGTCATATAAGAGCTGCTGGTTCTTTACTGATGGCTTGGTAATTTGTGTTTCTCTGCAGAAACCAAAAAGCAGGATCCCGAAGCATGGACCGAAGTGAAAAGAAGAAAACCGTCATCATCAAAAGCAGATAACAAGGTCAGCATACATTGAGTGTGTGTGTCATTTAAAGAGTTTTCAGCACTGTGTTTGTTTTAACTGACCCAAAAGATATTTGCAAACACATTGCTCTGAACATGAACACTAGTACTGTTTGAATCATTTACTCTGTTTGTGTGCACTGTTTTTGTCTCTTTCTAAATCTTTTTTTTGTTTTGTCTTGTTTTGTTCCCTTAGGTGGCTGGTTTCTCTAACGACCAAGAAGAACTGGACTTTCAGTTTGATGAAGAACTAGAACACCAAGGAAAACAGCCAACAATTTGCTCTGCTGATTGGTGAGTTTTACTCCTGAAAAGTAAACATACCCATTTGGAAAGATTGAATTTCTTCCCACTCTTTTCCAGTTAGAGTATGATGGCCAAGTGGTGATGGTTGTCTCGTTGGATCTGGGGGAATTACATGTGCAGGGT